TCTGTTTAAGAAAAACCCCAACACTGAGATGGCCTCGCCACCCCCTGTCCCGGAGCAGCAGAGGCAGAGGGAGATAGGGAAGCACGTTAACTGCCTAATAAGCACGCTGGCCTTCTATTCGACTATGAATAATTAACTAGTTGAATATTAAATAATTAACTGAGTGAAGTGGATTAAAAAACAAATTCAAAAATGTCTTCTCCCGTGTTCGTGTGTCCCCTCCCCCCCAAGGCCCATGCCAGACGCTGCCAATGCCAATGACAAAGGTAGCCCAGCAGCAGTGGCTGCATTCCATGGGCGCCCGCTTTGTGCCAGACATACGCTGAGCACCTGCATGCTTACCACCCATTGTGCCAGAGAAGGTTGCTGACTCCACGTTCCGGATGCGGACCCCGGGAATCAGGACAGGCAGTGACACTGCGCCCGAGGGGAGCGGGCAGTGACAATGTGTTCCTTGACGGCGCCTGTAACAGAGCACCCTCGATGTTGGAGCAGGGTCACTGGGAGCTTCTGAGCAAGTACGTCATAGTAACGGTTTTTGAGAAAACACCTCCATGGCCTTGGCTGGGTTTGGTGACCATGGCTGAGATCCATGGCCATGGGTAAGCATCGATATGAAAAGAGACCAGGGAAAGTGTTTTCCACTTACTGTTTTTAGTAGAAAATTTAAAATATTTTCACTTTTTCTTTCTTTAACCTATCTGCAAGTAAATGTACTTTGCAGGTCTTCATAACTGTACATTTTGAACTCTCAGATTGTATTTCAGGCTAAAATTCAATTTTTGTTTCTCCTCTTTTTAAATAACGAAGAGCTGCATTGCTGAGTGCATGGGTGTCCCACGTTTCACCCACTTGTCCTAAGAGGCTGGTGCAGGAGGCATCACGTGAATGGGAGCTGATGGAGGGAGGGGGCTTGTGCAAAAGAAGCATCTACTCGCCTTGAAACCACGGCTGTTGGGGACTCGGTCTGTCTTGCCATGTGATAAACATGAGGATGGGGACCTGGTACGTGCCCCGTGGTGTTCTGAAAATTGGGGGGTGGAGAAAGCTGGACAGTTAATGAAATGCAGTGTTCTCCACTCTTATCATGTAGCCATCTGTCCTTACATTTAGGAGAAAAAGGAAGGTGTTGGCTATAAAGAGACTTGGCATTTTACGTCTGTCTAAGAAATAGGAAGACACCCTGAAATACGTCCTTTGGGTAACAAGACATCTGCTGAGGCTGGGACTGGGAGGCTGTGCGAACACAGATATGTTGGTTTTGAATCTCATCAATCGGCTCCAAACTGAGGACCTCTCTCTCCGTGCTGGGGAACGGGGTGGCCTCAGTCCTACATGACACATGACCAGAAAATAAAGAGGAAGGAAGACAGACAGGCAGGTCAAAGGAGTTATAGAGGGGTTTGCGAGATCAGGACTTTGGAATACTTGGCTTTAAACACGCTACTTCTCGTCCTGCTTTATCCGTGGTCCAGGATGAGAGGAACCGGCACCCAAGTGGAGGAAATAGGAGTGAACAGTAATGAAGGGAGGGGTGAGGCTGGGAGGTCCAGAGCAGGGGCGGGGAGGGGAACAGTGCATGGGATTGGTGGTCTTGCAATAAAATAGCATTCTTACCCTGTGTAGTGAGGCAAACTAAGTGAAGTTTTGGCAGTTATGAATTTCCCCTTTGCTTACATATTAAGTCACTACCAGAAAATGCTATAAATTAAACACCTTCTCATCAAATCTTATCTCACTGACTGCAATTATTATGTCAGAATTCCATTCCCTTGAGAAAACTTAGGACATTTTCTCCAATGGAAAATACATATCATACTTAAGAATCATAATAAACTCTTTAAATAACTTCATGTTTTAGCAGTATGTAGTTTGAATTAATAATCACTAGCTCAATTATAGACTGCATTGGCATAATACCCTCATTCTTCTGTAAAAACACTTTTCCATATAGTCTTCTATCCCCAGACTATCAACATATAAAACTCAGAGAGAAATTTGATTTCTTATTTTAGAGATAAGAATTCTGAAACTAAGCTTGATATTAATCAGTGCTGTCTTTTATTGAATTATTAAACATAAGAGAACCATGCTATGCCCTTTATATGTATTATCTGATTTAATGCCCATGATTAACCCATAAGTGTTAGCAACTCTATTTGCTCTGGTTCTAAGATACCACAAATTGAGATCAGATTGATTCAAAGTCTATGCTTTGAAATCACTACAAGTTACTGCCCATGGGACTTACTCAAGCTCAGTGAGCTAGTAAGTGACAGAAGAGGAAATGCTGGTAGAGATCGTCTATTTGCCCTTAATTTTTTTCCATGCAACCCTAATAGAGAATTTTAATATAGTGGATAATCAGTCTTAAAAGGTCATTGCACGTTCATTAAAAACAAATATTTAATTAGTTCATATAAATAATTATGTATTTTTGGAAATTCTAATAGATTTAAGTGTTTTAAGCAACCCTATTGTCTTTTTCATTCCTTTGTATATGATATGCTGTTTCCTTCTCATGCTCTGATTAGGTTGGAAATGACATGGAAATAGTTAGAATTAAAGCAATGTTTGTGAGCAATTGTGTATTGAAATATGGGCATTTAGTTCAAGTTGACAAGTTAGTTTTGAACACTTAGTCTGTAAGGTTTTTCACCTACATAGACGAGTAGACACTGTCCCTCTGAAGGAATGTTCAGTTCATCTTTAAAGGTTGTGTTTAATAAACATGAATATTCTTGAAAGAAATTATTAGGATTCCTTCTTGGTTATGTTTAGTAAGACTGAATACTCTTGAGAGAGATTATTAGGATTCCTGAGAATTGTTTTTATTCTGCATTGGGGGAGAAAGCAAAATGGCTGAGCGCAGATAGAAATGTATGTTTATAAAGGAACCTAAGAGTTATTAATACAATGAGAGAGAGAAATAGTGCTTTGGAGGAACATGAGGAGGGGATGGTCATATCACTTTGGGTTAGAAGGGGAGTCAGCAGAGGCTCATGACATAAGTGATGTTTCAGAGGAGCCCTAATGGGTGGATAGAAATCCTGAAGGCATTTGGGGCAGGGCAGTCTCACACACACACAGGGGGCAGTGTGAATCAAAGTAGAGACTGTCATTTTCTTATCGTGTGTGTGTGTGTGTGTGTGTGTGTGTGTGTGTGTGTGTGTGTGTAGATTAATAAAAGGTTAATAAAAGGATAAAAGGTGCCAGGGGACCTGATCGCAGAAGGTATTGAGTACCATTGTCCTTGGGGCGGATGCAGAGCGTGAGAAGCAAGCACTGACTGGAAGGAAGGAGATGTGCGTGAACACTTCAGCGGTGGCGTTTGTGAACTGGGTGAACTTGGGCAAATCACTTCATCTTTTTGCACCTTCACTTCCTCGCCTCCAGTGTGGATGGAATAATTGTTACTTTAAAGGCTGGTGTAAACCGGAAGGCTTGTATGGACGTGTTCTGAAACTGTAAGCACAACAGGTGGTGCCGATGCCATCGTAGTTGCCACCGTTGTTGTACACGTGATGGTAGATGAATGAACTGTAGAAGGGGTGCTCTCCGTTTCGCTCTGCCCCTTTGGAGAAATAGGTTGGCAGAAGCGGGGAGGATGGAGAACCAATCAGGAAGCTCCTAAAGTAATTCAGGTTAAAAATAACAAAGGTGCGATTAGGATGGTAGTGCAGGTAGCCAGAAAGAAAGGGAGGTACATTGCAGAGACGCTGTTTAATTTTCTGTTCATTGAAAGATGGACTGAGGACCCCTGTGCTCCTGGACACAGTCTTCACAAGAGGCAGCGGGGATGGAGACGCAGAGCAGGGTGTGCAGATACCTGGGGAGTGAGGTGAGAGGCAAGAAGGGGTCTCCGAGTCTTCCCGTGCTTCCCATTGGCGAGCCCTTGGAACCAGCAGAATGGAGAAGGGACACTCGGGTCATGGGAGCTTAACCCACCTGTGGTGCCTGTGTCACATGGGCGGGAGGTGAGGAGGGCCAGTGATCCTTCCAGGGAGGCGTGAATGCACCCCCTCTCCCTCTCCCTGTGTGGGTCTGCACCGCCTGATGGGCGGAGACTTGCCCAGGGAAAGAGGGCACAGTCCATCCCCGAGAAACTCTCACTCCACACGCCTGACAGCACCACCCCAACCGAGGGAACTGAGAACGCGTCTCCCCTAAAGAGAGTTCCTCAAGTCTCTTAAACTGGACCGGCTTCTCCTGTGCTTGCTTGGGTTTGGAAGTGGATGTAAATCAAGTTCAGAGTCTCTGTAAACTCTTAACTCGGTTTCCTGGTCATCAGAAATGGATTCCGTTTAACCCACAGTCACTCAGGGAAGGCAGACATCTCCCGGAGATGGGCTGCGGAGGAATGCGGGGAGTGACCGGGCCCTGCCCTCTCAGCTTCCCGAAAACACGCGTCAGAAAGCAGGCGGCAGCCCACTGCGTGTCGAGCTAAAGCTGTCTTCTTACTACTGTTATCTGCACCACAACACGCTCTCACTGTGTGTCATGTGTGTGATTTGTGTCTTCACTTCTTCATGAATGACATTTTTATGAAGAGGGAAGTGATGTGGGGGGGCCAATTGGAAACTCATACTAATATGGGTTTTAATAAAATAAACAACCCCTGCAGTACTGATTCCTAAAGCTGAAAGTGCTTTGCAGTCCTTCAGACACTTGTGAGTTTTGTGGGATCAAGTCGCAGAGAAACAGCCCCCTGTGCATGGCATTTTCCATGGAACTTTTACCACCGTGTTGTCCCTTTACTTGGGAGCTTAACTGAAGTGAAAATAGGACAGCCTTGTAGATCTACTTAAAGTATGCAGGGGACATGAGGCTAGCCACGGAACCAAGAATGTGATAAAGTTATGAGGAGAAGTCATAGGAGTGGGTTCACATTTGTTTAAGTCCCTCTCATTCCCTTTCATCTCCCGCTCATTTCTTCCCCTCCGTGCTTTACCGACGTGGAATGCTCTCTGTGCTGATGTGTGCGGTTTTCTTCCCTCTAGGAGATGACCTGGCTCCCACCACTTTCTGCTATTCAGCCGCCTGGCAAGGTGGAACCGAGCAAATTCTCATTTCCCAATAAGGTGAGATCTTGTGTCACCAGAACAGCTAGCTGTCTTCACACAGGGCTTTCCAGGGACAGTGGGATGTCCCTTTATTGTCTTTTCCTTTGAAAATATTCCTGCCAGAGGCATATGGGTCTGACTTTCAACATTTTTCAAACATACATATTTATTCATCAAAGGGGAAAATCAAGATTGCAATTTTACACCTACACTTCCATACTTAATGCAAAATGTGATGCATATTATGTGTCATTTTACCTAAAACATTTGTGAAGTTGCTTCTTACAATAATGTAAGGCATTCAGTGTGATTGCCTACTTTTTCCTTGAAAGCTGTTTAAATTAATAATGAATCTTAAAATCAAAGCGTCTAATATTATCGACATTTTATCCTTGTTTCTGGATGTTTCGTTTGCATTTCTTCTGAGTTTAACAATGGACTATTTTTCCTTTGCAACTTACCATTCATAGTCATTACTCATTCATATCGCATTTTAAAAAAATGACTTGTTAGGAACTTCTTATTGCTTATTCATGTGTCTATTATATATGATACAACTATTGTCTTGTAACTTGATTTATGTGCCTTTTATACTAGCAAAATGTTTAATTTTTGTCAGAGACTTTAAAAAATCTTTCCTGCATCAATATTCTAACCATGTTCTCTCTTTTATTCGAAGTCTTTTATAGTTTTGGTTTTAGGTTTTAAAAAATGTTGTGAATGGCATAACATAGAATTCTAGTTGTGTTCTTATAAATGGCTAGTAAATTATTATAACAGTGTTAATAAAATTAGCTATATTCCCCCTACTATTTTGAAATACCATATTTACCAGCAGTTAAATTTCTCATAAATACATAGATTTGTTTCAGGAGTATCTATTCTGTATTTTCAGTGTATTTACTTCTTTCCCAATAACTTAATGTTTAAATCAAATGTTGACAAATGTTTTGTGTTAAGACTCAGGATATAAATAGTTTAGACTTTACAGATAATATGTAAATGAATGACTGTAGCTATATTCAAATAGAATTTTATTTATAGAAACAGGTGACAGCATCTATAATAATAAAAGTGTAATATTTAGACCGGACGTCCTTCCAGACGACGAAGATGAGTCTGTGAGGGAAGCCGGTGCTGGCAGCCAGGGAAAGGAAGGCCTACTCTTGCACATAAAGAACTCTTATAACTCAACAATAAGAGAATAGCTCATTTTAAGGATGGGCAAAGGATTTACATAGACATTTTTCCAAACAAAAGCTACAAATAGCTAGTAAGTATATGAAAAGTCACTATCGCTATTATTAATCAAAATTACAGTGAGAAAATGAGTCAGACCTACTTAAATAACTGAAAGCAAAGACAGACATGACCAGGGTTAGCAAGGGTGTAGAAAAATTGGAAACCTGCTCTCAGTTGCTCGTGGGATCATAAAATGTTGCAGCCTCTTTGGAAAACATTTAGGCAGTTTCTTCAGCACTGCATTATCCTGTGAACCAGCAATTCCACTCCTAGATATTCACCCAAAGAATGAAAACACAAATCTATACAAAACTTACACATGCACATTGTAGCAGCATTATTCATAATCCTATATAATAAAGAGGTAATATGCGAATGGTCGTTATGCCGTGATAGGTAACGACCAATCACCAGGAGGGTGGGGCAGCAGCGAGCTATGAGCGGGAGGGGGTGGGGGGGAGACCTAAAGTGGCAGTGGGCAGGGCGGCCAGCTGAGACAGCGGCAGTGAGCTATTCACACACAGATTCGGGCACAGGGCCACTAGTAGCCAATAAGTGAAAACAACACAAATGTCCACCAGCTGATGAATAGGTAGACATGAGTAGCATATCCTTACAATGGAATACTTTTCAGCATAAAAAGGAATGAAATGGTGTCACCTAATACAATGTGGATGAACCTTAAAAATGTTAAGTGAAAGTCACAAACAACCACATACTATATTGTATGGTTTCATATATTTGAAATGTCCAGAACAGGCAAATATAGCAAGACAGAGAATTAGATTAGTGGTTTCTTAAAGCTCAGAGGTGGGGAGGTGGGGTTGAATGTTGGCTAAATGATTTTTGTTTTGAATTGATAATAATATTCTAAAATTTATTATGGTCATAAACTCTGAATACAATAAAAAGCATTACATTGTTTAAGATAAAACAAATCAAAGGCTGGGCTATACTTCTTGGCCTATGGGCTATAATTGGCTGATTCCTACTTTAAGTTATTAATGATTTTCGGCCTATTTATACATACATGTGGTCAGGCCAGTATCCATTTTTATTATCCAAGAGTCCTGCCCATTGTACATTTTTCTCTTCCAGATCAATGTAAGAATTCTCTTGATGATCTGTTGTTCCTTAAAAAAAATCTTCTTGGAATTTTGTTTAGTTTCTAACTAAATTTAAGAAAGTATGTCCAGCCTAACCAGTTTGGCTCAGTGGATAGAGTATTTGGCCTGCGGACTGAAGGGTCCCAGGTTCGATCCCAGTCAATGGCATGTACCTTGGTTGCAGACACATCCCTAGTAGGGGCTGTGATATTTGCTTACTTTTGTATTTCAATCAGCTTTTTTTAAAGTTCTTATGTTTTAATTAGTCCTCACTGGTATGAAGGAAATTCACTGGACTTTACATATCTACTTATAAGTTCTACTTATTGAATTCCTTCTGGCTCTGGGGGATTTTTGGTGAGCTTATATTTTCCTAGTAGGGACAATAGAGTGCATAGCAAGAAGGAGGTGGATGCTGATGGTGGCTAGGAATGGATGACTTTTCTGTGAAGAGCTTAAGGAAGACTTTTTTGAGGAGGCATTTGAGCAACTCCCTGAAGCAGCTGAGGGAGCAGGTAGTGCAGACTGGGGGGGGGGGGGGGTGGCGGGGGGACGGGGGGGGGGGGCAGAGAGTTCCACAGAGATGGAAGAGAAGGGAAGGACCCCCGAGGCAGGAGCATACTTGGGTCTTGGAGACACCGCAGGGCCAATGGGGGCAGATCAGAGCCAATGAGCACAGAGAGCAACTGACAGAGGTACCCAGAGGTGGGGAGGTGGGGTTGAATGTTGGCTAAAGGATTTTTGTTTTGAATTGATAATAATATTCTAAAATTTATTATGGTCATAAACTCTGAATGCTCTAGCATGAGGCTGTCAGGACACCAGGAATATCAGATTGGGCCTACTTGGGTAATCCAGAATAATCTCCTATCTCACAGCCATCATTTAATCCCTGCTGCAAAGCCCCTTTGGCCATGAGAAGTAACGTGTTCACAGGGTTGGGGAATGAGGATACAGACATCGTTGGGGGGCCTGTGTTCTACCTACTGCAAAGACTGTCACTAATTGTACTGTCACATACTGTACCCCTTCCAACCTGTATCTCAACTAATTAGTGTAGTCAGCTGGAGACTTGCATTTCCATAATCAGATAGATTATTAACATTTAAGATTATCACTGTATTGCTAGCATGAAGGATCTAGAATTGTTCATAAAATATAAGGGACAAAGTCTCCTAAATGTGCAACAGATAATTAAATTAATCCCTTATTAAGATTAAAGGGGCGACTTGACCTCCCCAGGAAAGTTGATTTAACTGCATTCTGAGTTGGCCGCACCACTAAATTAATTAGCTAATACTTTCGATAATTTCCCCCATTTGTCCGGGCATTGAAGGATATTACATCCATTGAGGACAGTTGTTACCGGATGTGGGTGTTTCTCCTATTCTCTGAACACTTCATCGGGAGTCACTGTTCACTGGACAAATGCTAGCAGACATGTCTGCCTCATTCTTCACATCTCAAGAGTAATTGAATTGGGTAAAGAAAAGAATGTGTGACTTCTTCAGACTGGCTGCCATTATCAGGTACTCCCACAAAGGCGGGGGCAGAATTTGCTTTGCCCTTTGGCCTTCATTTCTGTAGCAGCCTCCAAAGTTGTGAAATGCAAATAAAGAACTGGAAATTGTAGAGTTTTCCCATCCTCAGAAGGCATCTGGGCAAACCTAATGGCGTGTCACAACCGCGTCACAAGGCGATGGTGCTGAGTCCGGGGATCAGCCCTGGCCGGAGCGGGTCCTGGCTGACAGGGCTGTGAAGCAAGCGCGGGGGACTCGGCTCCTCACAGAAATGCCCGCGTGCTTGCTCCCTCTGGGTGCCCAGAGGAGAATGAAATCGGGGGGGGGGGGGGGGGGGGGGGAGGAAAGTAGCAAGCTCACTCCCTCCCGGGGTTGCTAGGAATCCTCAAAAACTACCACAGGATATTTGAACTAAAACTCCATGCTTAGCATTATCTCAAACCAAACAATGAAACCCATTGTAAATTACATTACTTTAACTATTTGGCGCTTTACAGAATATGATTCAGAAGAAAGTGATTGGTGGGGGTGGAAGGCGATGAAGCCAAATCAGATGGTTCTTTTTCCTCTAGGAATTAGCTCACTTTGTGTGTGTTGGGGGGGGGGCATCAGAGAATAAGAGAAGACAGTTTTGCATTTCTTTCCTTTTGTAGTTCTAATTGGGCTCATAGACAGACAAGGAGAGGTCTGAGTGGTCCAGTCCTCAGGGGTCCTAACAGCAGTTTTGAAGTAATGCTCGCACAGTATTAGTACCGGTATGTCCTCCTTCGGCTTAAGGATGCCTGGACTTACTGATGTAAGGTGTGTGGTTTTTCACCTTATATGTTCCCTACAAATCAGGATGTGTTTTACAGCTGGTGGCATCTTAGTTCATTGGCAGCAGTTTTGTTTGCCAGCGTCCCTGAGATCGGCAGCCTCCCGCACTCTGATGGCACCTTACACTCGGTGGGACACGGTGGTCGCTATGGCGCTCCGTGGAAGGGCTTCCTCCGACACCGGGGAGCTTGGTGATTTCCGTTCTCAGCAAAAGGATTTGTACCACCTGGCTTCTCAGCTAAACAGAGCTCATTTAGAGGAGCTTTCAGATTCCCACGTGCCAGATAGGAGTTTAGGTTTGGGGATTCAGGATTGAAAGATGGAAAAGGAGAAATTTCCATCCGGAAGCATTCTTCTAAGAAGCCAGAAGTGGGTGTCACCTCTGTACATGTGACTGCCAGGTGACACACTCGAATCACACTGGCGAACCAACAGCAGCAGCTTAGCCTCCGAAATGACCCGATTCGGGGTCACAGACAACTTTCGTATACGTCCCTGTTCCTCTAAATTTTCTTTAATGAGTAGATATTATTATATATATTAGGTTAAATACTAAGTGCTATTTAATAAAATGGAATGGTCCTGGAGTTAAGAAGATGATAATAGTAGCAGCCCTTTATTGCTATTTATTATTAAATTGTGTACTTCAAATATGTGCAGCTCGTGTTTTATTGTTTATGCCTCAATAAAGCTGCTTTGTTGTTTTCAAAAACTAATTCATAGTTGAAAAGAGAAAAGAAGCTCAATATCATTAGTCATCAGGGAAATACAAATCAGAACCACATGAGAAACCATTGCACATCCCCTACAATGGCCGTCATAAATTTTATAAAAATTAAAAACAGAAAATAACAAGTGTTTGAGAGGATGTGGAGAAATTGGAACCCTCAGACATTGCTAGTAGGAATGCAAAATGACTCAGCCCCTGTGCAAAACAGTTTGGCGCTTCCTCAAAAAGCTCAACATGGAGTCGCCACACGAACCTGCAGCTCTGCTCCTAGGGACTCAAACGAGGACACATGCATGTGTGTTTATGGCAGCCCTGCTCACAATAGCCAGAAGGTGGAAACACCCCAAATGTGCATGAACAGAATGGACCTGTTAATAAAAAGGGCTGTGTACACACACAATGCACATTATTCATTATTCATTCCACAAAAAGGAATGAATTACTGGTACAAGCTACCACGTGGATGGATCTCCACAACAGGTGACATGAAAGAAGGCAGCCACAAAAGGTCACACCATACATGATCCCACTGCTACAGAACATCCGGAACAGATAAACTCACGGAGCCAGGACCCTGGCCGGGGCGCCAGGGGCTGAGGAGGGGGGCGAGAAGGGGAGACACTGCTTAATGCTGTGGCGTTTTATTTTGAAATGATGGAAATATTTTGTAACTAAAGAGAGTTGGTGGTTGTACAACATTGTGAATGTATTAGATGCCGCTGAATTGTTCACTCTAAAGTGGTAATTTTGTGTTATGTGAATTTCACCTCAATAAACAAAACAAAAAGTCTACAAGACAAAAGAGAAGTGATTGTGAACTGTAGTGCCAGAACTTTTAGCAAACACATTTATGCAAATGTTTTTCATTACAGTAGCTGGTAGAAATTGACCAGGAATATATCTCACATTCAACTTTGATTTTAAAAGTCAAAATGAGAACGTTAATTGGTATTTCTTGTTCTTCTAGGACTCCCAGCTCATTTCCTCTGGACACAACAATCCAAGTAAGAAAGGCTTCTCTCTGGGCTGTATGAGTGTGTATGTGGTGGTGGTGGAGGGGGGCTTTTGAGGGATGAGTAGGGGAGATGTATGCAATAAACATGTGAAAGAATTTCACTATAAACAAAATCAAACGGTGGGAAGAGGGCCATTTGCTCACATGCATTCCAAATGTGTGCGGTTCACGTGACCTTGAGAGCCCCTCTATCTTTCTCAAGGGGAGGAGGCCAAGACATAAATGGTGGCTGTCAAAACAACCGTAGGTTGAAAGAACATTATTCTTTGTGATAGCTGGTTTCTGGTATATGTAGAGGGGAAATATTTTTTTTTAAAACACTAATTAGTTATCTAAATTGAAAGAAAAAGAATGGGCAAAGAGAACCAATCAGAAGCCCTCAAGATTAATGGCCTTAGAAGCCATGGAGAAACCGTGCCCTCTCAGAGACAGACGGGAGTGTCTAGGAAGGAATTCCTTATTGAAGCCAATGTCACGGCTTCGTTGTCAGAGGATGTTATCATTCCATGAAGCAGTGTTTTCATTCTCTTCTTTGGCCTTACTAATTGTTGTTCGTGTTTTCTTGAGCACGAAAAAATGCAAACGCTATCTCATTCGTGTCATGGACAACATCCACAAAGGCTGGGCTTCCTTCCATCTACGACCAGCCAGTCAGCTGAGAGTCCCCCCTGCCAATTACGAAGCCGTGTTTGAACATGAAAATCACTCTGAGCAAGCAGACGTGTCTTTGGAACTGAGGCTCACTCACTGAGCATCTGTGAGGGCAGAAGGGGTGGGGGAAAAGACAGGAGGACAGATGTGTTCGGAGGCCCCGCCTTCTCCTGCACAGCTGGAGAAAGGTCAGGGTAGGGCAACGGTGGCATACTGGTGCACAGGCAATCCCACTTCGTCATCTCACCCTCGCCTGGAATTTGCTGTGAGCACAAGCCAGCAAAGGGGAGAGATGCCAAGGGACTTGAAACCTAAAGAACATCATCGGTTCGGTAGTAAGAAAAGGAATCAGGAGAAATGCCTGGTTGAGTCCATGAGGTGTGTAGGCGTCAGCATCATGTGCCAAAGACTAGAGCAGTGGTTCTCAACCTTCCTAATGCCGAGACCCTTTAATACAGTTCCTCACGTTGTGGTGACCTCCAACCATAAATTTACTTTACTTTCATTGCTACTTCATAACTGTAATTTTGCTACTGTTATGAGTCACAATGTAAATATCTGGGTCGCAGCATTAAAAAGGTTGAGAACCACTGAACTAGAATATACAGAAAAAGTGCTATTACTTTCCTCAGCGTGTCCCTCCATTTGAATTTGAACAGTTCAGGGCAGAGGGAGGATACCAGAGGTGAATAAAAGTACCTTCTCTCAGCTTGGAGCTTTTGACATAAAGAACAAAGGAAGAGGTACTGAGTCTCTTCCACATGCCCGCCCCTGGACACACGCTACCTCACTGAATCCTGACAGTACCTGGATGGTGGTCCCCATTTTGCACATGATGAAATGAGATTCTAAGGTTAAGAACCAGCCTTGTTTATAGTGGCTGAAAAAGAAATGGCAAAGAGGGTTTGAATGCAGGGATGTCTGCCCCAAAGACAACTGAATTTCCCACCTCTTACCTTGACCCCAAAAAGGTTGCTTCTGATGGCTCAGTCTGAGGCTGGATTCCTGAGATAGCTGTATATATACTGTGGTTTTGTGTGCATTTGGCATGTGGTTACAGCATGCCCTGACAGTGACCTGCTAATGCTGCGTTTGGCTTATGAAAAAGCAGACCCTCGTCTGTGAAATGTGAGGTGGCACCTGCCGCGTGTGGTATGAAACCCACTGGCACTCCATCGCCCAGGGGAATCTCTGACTGGCTTTTCCTTTTCTTGGAGTAGGGAACTTACTATTTTGTATTTTAAAAATAAATCCTCTCCTAAAGCCAACCACATCTATCTACAGATAATATCACTGTTTAAAAATCTGAGCATTCACCTGGATTATAGCACATGGGAAGCTTTAGGAGAGCTGGTCTCACCAGCATGCCTCTGCTGCTTCTTGTATCTGGTTTGGAATCCTTACAGTTTTTGGAAGTGTGACTTTAATAAGTATGTAGAAAATGAAAAGCACTGAGCTTTAGGGAAAGCAAACACGAAATATGTGTGTGGATTGATGAGCTAACCATCACCACTTCAGCTCAGGGCTGCTTTTCTTCTTTGAAGATGGAGATTTGTATGATATAGATGCCAAGAGAGAAGAGTATGTTAATTGAACAGAAAAAATGTTTTTAATCCAGATCTTTTAAAGGATACTTTAGTCAGTTTGCTAAATTACTGGTTAATTATTTAATTTTAGAAAATAGAAACTTATTAAGCATTGAGAAACTTCAATATTAAAGAAGAGTTGACCTATGTCTGCATTTTATTAAAGTCTGGAGTGGCCCTGTTCAAGTGGCAGTCTGAGCATGACTCCAGAATCTCTGTTTAAATTACCAGAACTTCGTCCCAATGGGTATAAATCTGTAACAGCGCTGAGGACAGAAAGGGGTGCATCAACAAGCCAGATATTCAGTTGAGTTCCTGGAAAACAGAGAGCAGACAGGACCCTCCTATGAAGTAGCCCTGGGCAAGGAAGGTCTGAATGAAACAAACAGGAACCAGCTCTAGCCGTGCTGGGAATGTCCTTTGGACTCCATGACAGACCCCAGGTTTCTGCTCAGTCTCTCGGGGAGCAGGCCTGGCGCTCAGAGAGTGGTAGGGCGCGGGGCCGTTCTTCCACCCACAGCCCATCCACCCCATCCTCGCTGGCTCTCATACATAGATTTCCGTCTGGACTCACCCCCAAAAACAAACAAAACAACAAAATATCAAATAACACGATGACGTTTGCTAAGAAAAGAACAGTTGACCAGAAGCTCTAGTTGGGAGCTGATACCTAAGAGAAGCGTATAGATTCTGAGGTAATACCAGGCTTTAAAAAAAGACATATGTAAGTGGTGGAAGAAGAGTTAGCTTTTATCAAGATTAAAATAAACAAAAATGCTACACACCCAGAGTACAGTACTTCTCTCTTGGTGTGGAGCAGGATGAGAGGATCGGGGCTGCCATCTTGTCTTGAGGTCTCTCTTCTCCGAACCCTGAAAAAGTCTCCAGTGAACATACCCTTCCATTTACAAAGAGCTCAAAGCAGCATTTCCTGCCAGGGATATGTGTGTGAGGAAAACAGATCAATATACGACTACAGGAAACCCCCATCAGTTACTTTTGTAAACCAACCTGCTATCGTTCAAAGTATGAATGTGTCACCAATAAGTACCAAAGAGGACTGACTCCAGAGGAAATCCACTTAATTCAAGAAACAGAAGAAAAAAATTTAAAGTATAATTACAGCCTTCAAAAACATTTGAAATTACTGTATTAAATAAAAGGAGAGAACAGATTGGTATGAAAAAGAAGCAGTTACAAAACAAATGAGCACTTGAGAATTAAAAATATGGTTCGCAAAATTTAATAGAAATGATTTGTAATAGTGGAAGTCTAGGATTTGTAATATAAGGTTGAAAACATCTTTTTTTGAACATAAAACAAAAGACAGATGGAAAATTTGAAAGGAAGTTCAGATACATGGAAGATTAATTGGGGTGGCAAGGTCAACATCCAGCTAATAGGAATACCAGAAAAAGAAAACAAAGTGGAGAAGAATAAGTAATAATAGAACTATAATTCCGAGGGAAATGAGTTACTCCATGTCACAAGTACTATATACCGTGGAGCAGGAGATCATGAACAAGAGTTAGGAGGACAGCAGATACAGAGAATTAGACCCATAAGGTCTTCAGATATTGGGATTACCCAACCCAAATCTAAAATAAGAGTGCTTGCTTCAATTTCCAGAATGGGATGTTTGAGAATGTGGTTAAGAATAAGAAGATTTTAAGAAGTACTTTAGAAATGAAAAAATGATAAATAAAAATTTTCTCATTTAGGTTGAACAGCAGATTAGATACAGCTAAGAACATTAATGTATTGGGAAATTGAATTTAAGAAATTATCTAGTGTGCCGCCTAGAGAAAAATGGAAATTAAGAAATGTGTGGGATATTCCCTGGCTGGTGTGACTCCGTTGGTTGAGTATTGTCCCGTGCACCACACTACAAGGTCACCGGCTCGATTCCTGGTAAGGGCACATGCCCAGTTTGTGGGTTCGATCCCTGGATGGGATGTATGCCGATTGATGTCTCTGTCTCTCCGTCTCTCTTCCTCTTTCTCTAAAATCAATGAAAATATATTTAGAAAAAAGGAAATAAAGTAAGAAAGTCTGGCATATATTTAAGTAGGATTTCAGAAGGAGATGAGGGAACAGAGGAAATATTAAGGAAGATAATGGCTGAAAAAAAATTAGAATTGAATTCACTAACCCACAAATTCTAAAAACCTCATGCATATTAAGCAGTAAAAATAAAGGCCACACTAGACACATTATAGTTCATCTGCAAACCACGTAGATAAGGAAACAATTCTTAAACTGCCCTTTAATTCGTCAGAGAAGCAACAATTCAACTTCCAGGTGACTTCTTCCTCAACAGTGATAGGAGACAGTGCAATTACAACTTCTCTTTTGTGTATCTGGAAATTGACAAGGCGATTCTCAAATTTCTCTGATAGAACAAAGGCCCCAAAATAGCTCAGACACTCCCAGAGAACAACAAGGTTGGAATTGGAGCCTTGCCTTGCCGTATTAAAAATATATAAATGTTTTAAGCTAAGTATCACAGACAGTAATAGACAAATTGACAATGAAAGAGAATATGGGTCATAGAAACAGGCCCACATATATACAAAAATTAGATTCATGATAGAGCTTATAATGTAATCAATGGAGAAAGAATGAGCTTTTTAATTGGTTACGAGAAAAATGAAATTACCTTATGTCATATAAAAAAATAAAAACTCCTCCTGGTATTTGTAGAAGATCTAAATGTGAACAGTTTAGTTATACACTTTCCAAAGACAATATAGAACATATTTTGATGTACTTCTTAAATAAAAACAACAAATTATTAAATAGAGGAAAATATTGATATATTCAAGTAAATTAAAATTGAGAACTTATCATGCACAGATACCAGAAAAAGAGTAAAAGACTCACACTGGGAAAAGTTGCTAGAGAGTATGTGAGAGAGGCAGAGAGACAGTGACAGAAGACTTGGATCAAGACAATGAAGTGCTTCTATGAGCTAAAAAAGTTACTAAAAATTTTTTTTTGAGAAATGAGAAAGAATGTCACAGAAGAGCAAGCACAAAATATCTCTTCCACATTGGTACTCAGAGAAATGCAGACACTACACTGAAATTTCACTTTATATTATTAAATGAAAAGAAACATTCTTTAATGTTTGACCGTAAGTTAACTTGGAACCAGTTCAGCATTCCCTGGTAAGGCTGGGCGTGTGAAAGCCCAGGGCCCACAGCTTAATCCTATCATGTCTCCCCTTACGGATTAAGCTGTGGCCCTGATGGAGTTAAGAATGAGACTCCCCGGGACCTCAATGCTGGGAGTGCAGCCTTCACTCAGGCTCAGTGGCCTTCCCTTCCCCACAGGCCCAGTCCTCCTTCTTCACTGACTAATGTTTATATTGTTGCAGTATTTAAACTTCTGTTGTTGGTTTATAATTTTTCTAATTGGCCTATAGGACATTCTAAAAATTAAGTTATTAATTAAGTTAAGATGCAGAAGGATGCCTCATTAATAATCACTGAACAGAATATAAATATTTTAAGTCTCGGCTTGTAGATGGAAGGTTTAGCTGTGTACGTGGTGAAGGGGGGTCAGGTGGGAGGAATGGGTGGGGCAATCTCCTCATTGTGCCTAGTTTAAGAGGAAAGATACTGTCAGAAGTTGATTAATCAAGAAATGGATGATTAAATGTCTTGAACGGGTGAAGGGCTCACAGAACGAAAGCCAGAAGCAAGCAACGGAGTCACATTTTCTCTGCTGGTCAGTTGTTTTGCCATGTGCATGGGTTCCTTTTATTATAAAGAAGAGATGTAGTACATCAAACCTCACCTGTGCAGCAGAATCCAGCCTGGCATAGCCTGTATTTCTCCCTGTTCAGACATCCTTAGTCCCTCTCCTGGCGGGTGATGGAGACTCCAGCCATGCAGTCACCCTAAGCGTCTGAAGGGCACAAATTCGGTATTTTTTCTTTTGTGACCTATTGGAGTCATCAAATTGTTTAGTATTGAAATTGTACATTCAACTCCATGGTGGATGTACCTACCCTCTCTCCCCTGTAGTGTGGGGGTCTGTGCTCAGACAGAAGACAGACGCTGAGTGTGCAGTGTGTCAGGGACTGAGCAAGGCTCAGGGAGACCCTGCGAAGCGTCAGGGTGAAAGTACACATATACTGTACATATGTTCCTACATATGACTTACTTGTGTGTACATGTGTCTGTGTGTGTGTGTGTGTGTGTGTGTATGTATGTCTGTGTGTGTGTGCTCTTGCAGTGGCTCACTTTCCCCCTCTTCCTCTCTGTAATTGTATTTCCATGTGCTAAATGACCACCCTGCACCCGGGCCAGCCTCTCCTGTCCATCTCCTTAATGACCCGCGCAGGTCCCTTCCAGAGGAGCCCGAGGGGTATCCATCATGAAAAGGTGACATAGCCAGATGGCCCCATCCTCTTCGGTCGCTGCACGGAAACATCTATCTGTCGTGCGTCATTCTCCCCTGGGTCATGAGGAAGAAAGGATGGCCCTTAATGACGTACGCACTTAAACATTTCAAGGAAACTTCAGATAATTGCATCACCTACAATTGCAAGTTGTTGGGAGAATCTGTTTCGTTCTTTCTGGAGGACCAAAATAATTTGGATCCCTTTCTCCCTCCTGCACCCCCTCTTCCCTGGAAGCCCATTCCTTGTTGGCACTGAAGGTGCTGCGAGCACTCCCTCCCAGGCTGTTCCTAAATCTCTCCTTGGCCCCTGGGGTCCTCGCTGCCGGCCAGAACCCCCTCTCTTGTCCCTGTCACCCCAGCGCTGGTCCAGCTCGACTCCCAGCCCAGGCCCCACGGGCAGAGGCCTGTGTCCTCTCCATTTGCAGGTTCTTTGGCAGAATTGTTGGCCAAGAAAAAACATTTACTCAAACATCCAAACATTGTCTCCATTGAGAGTCTTTGTTTCCTGTTTTCTTGACATAAGTTGTTTGGAAATGTTTGCTATTTCTGGCTGCTGCCTGACTGTTTCACTCTGTTGTGATTGTATTCGGTGTGGCTAAGGGCAGTGCCAGGCTGGGGAAAGCAACAAATTCCTCCAGATAAAGAGCGGGGCATCAATATGGTGACTGAAACCTCCACGTAGCTTTGTCTCACTTAGCGCAGGTATAACTATTTAGGGTTCTGGCAGGAATTGTGGCCACTGCGTGGAAGAATGACTCTGGAAAGGACTGAAGGTTGTTTTCCAGCTCTCAAACCGGTTGATGAGGCCTCATGTGTCTGAGTGCACCACAGGCTTGGCCTGGAGGACGGACGTGACAGTACGAGCTCCAGAGCCACTTCATTGATTTGCTGCCTCTACTTGCACTTCAGCGTGGTTTCCTATGTGTGGAGGCCCATTATCCAGTGTTTGTTACCCAGGCAGTGAAGTTGATGATTGGCTTTCTGATGAATGGCTGTCCCCCGTAGCTGTACCTGTGCCCAGTTACCTCTGTTATATCTAAGATAGACATGTGAACCACATCTGCTGGTCTTTCTCTCACAGCTTCGATTCCTAAAAAGAGAAAGAAGAAATGATCAAGTTTGCTTTGGGGTTCAGTTTGGACAATATCTTCCGAATATCATCATCATGCAGTTTAGGAAGACCATCCTGACAAAAGGGGCCTGCACATACGTAGGGCCTGCCCAGGCCCTCAAAGAGCACACCAGGGGTTCTGCAGACTCAGATGACAAAGCAAAGCAGCTGCCACCATCAGGCCCATTTCCTAGGACCCATAGCCTTGCCTGGGGTTTATTAAACTATTAGAGGCCCATTGCACGAAGATTTGTGCAAGCATGAGCCTTCCTTCCCCTGGCTGCTGGCACTGCCCTCGCTCTGGGCAGAGCGGCCTTTCTGCCTTCCCACGCTGCCCAGAGGCCCAGAGCTGCTGGGGTAGTGCAGAACACCTGCATCGTCGACATGGCAATGATGCAAGCATCCTGCCCCGCCCCCAGCTGCTCAGCACCTGCATATGCAAATTAACCCAATATCTTTGTTGGGTAAATTTGCATACTCACTCCTGATTGGCTGGTGACTGTCACGAAGGTATGGTTAATTAGCATGTTACTCTTTTATTAGTGTAGATTAGGACAGCACAACCATCGTAACACAGCCAACCCACATTGGCAATCAAGACCCTTGCTTCTTCATCCCCAAAAGGGAGCACCTTATAGCATGAGGGCACGTAATTCAAACTCCCAGTATTCAAGGATCTAAGAGTTACAGTATCTTTGCAAGAGGAATTTGCCCCTTAAAACTACAAAAAGTGAACTGGTTCCAGGCTCTCTTAATTAAATCCTTGATGACCACAGTGAAACTTTTTTTTTTTTTTTACCTAACCTGTCAGATAGGAGGGATTTCTGGTTTACATTTTATTCTGCATTAACTAGGGAGGGTGGGGGCAAAACCTAAGCCAGGGCTCTTGGTGGGGGGGTAATTCTTGGGGACCTGGTAACCTAGGATACAACCTCAGTGAAATTCTCTCCTCCGAGTTCTGGCACAGCCAGACCAGGTTCGGCTCATGTTAGTCAAAGAGATCGAAGTTCAGCATGCCTTCATGTAGAATGCTACTGGGGTTTATTTCCTTAAATGTTCTGTAAAGTGGAGTGGAAGGAAACAGGCTCCGGCTGTAAGATACTCATCTCCTGGCGAGGTTTCCTCTCTGGTTGTTTACAAACAGCTCCTAGTACCTGCTCACAGATCCATGCCCGGGCAGTGGTATTACAGAGAAGAAATCATCTGCAAATCTGGTTCTCAGACATAAAAAGGTGTTTGAAAAGCCTCCTGCTGCACATTTTTGAAAATGGTTATAGGAAATAGGAACATTCAAATGTATGTAATCTCTTAAATGTTGAAGACTGTGATACTCACATGTTGGTTTTTTTTTCTGCTTCCTTTTTAAGAGAAAGGTGATGCTGAGCCCGAGAGTCCAGACAATGGCACCTCGAATACATCGTAAGTCTTTCCTCTTTCTGTCCGTGATGGCGGTTCTTTAATACGAAACAGCTCAAGTGTCGCGTAGCCGTAATAATAATAACGGGAGGAGGGCCAGTTCTCTTCTCCTGACGATGTCTTTTTAAATGTTCCGAGTGCACACGCATTCGGAGGTCTTTCTCGTGCTTTAATACAGAAAGAATAATATCGAAAACACAAGTGCTCCTCTTCGGAAAGTCCAAGTTTAAGGAGATGGGAGGGCACATACTGGTGCAGAGGAGCTGGCAGCCTTTTAGAATGTGTTTGAGACTTTCATCGTCACTGTTGTAAATAACATAAAACTTGGCTCACCTTCGGGAGGCATTGTCCCGCACACCTGTGAGGGACTGATATCATTCAAAACGCCTGCTGCCTGCACCCTCCCCTCGGAACTTTGTGAAAAATATAAGGCCCGATGCCTCTGGAATCTCATGAGTTTGCTGATGTTTTTGAATGAACTAAAGCATTTTTTTAAAGATAAGAAAAGGCCCTTACAAAGCACCTGTTCCTTACTTTGCATGTTGCTTTTTCCTCTCGGGGCTCAAGGAACCCAAAAGTTTTAATGATTAATTTGATACCAAATTTATATACCGAAGTTTAAATGAAATAATTCAGAAGCTAACAAATTATTTTAGGAATCATATTTGCCCTTTGAAAATCTTTATTGGAACTCTGAGGGGTAACTCAGCTTCCTTATTCCTGTATGGTTTGTGAATTCATCTTTATGTGGGCCAGCACTCTTACTACTAAGCGTTTAAAATGCTTCTCAATAGAAATCACAGTTTGTGATATAATTTATTGAGTGTCTCAGTTTGTCTAAGATCTGTTTCTCAGTCAAGAAAAATCCTTCAGCTTCCCTTAAGCATAGGATGGCTATATATTTCATAAAGGATGTGATTATATGTGGTCTTCCTTAAGATGCTACACTAAAAGTTCTAAACAGTTCCATTGCTATGATTTCTGATGATATAATACATTGGTTAGTTTTAAGTGGTTAAAATATCACTAACTTTAAAATTTTATGCTGCAAAATATAATGGGGGAAGGGTTTTAATGCCATCTGGAGGCATTCTAGAGAACTGAAAAGGGCAGAATCGTTAAAAAATTTGGTTCTTTTTAATAACATTTGAGACTGGATATGAATTTACACAACTAGAATGTAAGCGATTTGGGAGTAAGTAGCATTTTTTATAAATAATTTTATAAAAGTGGTAATTATTACAGAGACAACTTTTTTAATTTCTTGTTTTTAAAAAATCATTTAAGAAACAAAATATATTGGAAAACTGCTAACATCCTACATTTAATTTTACAAAATGTTAAATCTCACTCAGTAGACACCAGTTTTGTTAATGCAGTTTGATGTACCGTGGAAGTTCTTCTTTTATGCATTTCTAAAAAATTCTATTCTCTAAGGGAATTGGTTGTCTGGGCTGTCCTGTTAAATTCTGTTACCTCTGGCGATCTGAGAACAGGAATGCTGAGAGCATCACCCCACATTCCTCTCTCCTCATGCAAAGCAGGTGCTTAGCCATCCGCCTCACCGCCTCGTGAACTAGGAGTAGCAGAACTAAGCACTAAGCAGAGGTTGCAGGATCTCTGGTAAAAGGGGAGGACTCTGTCCTTGGGCCCTGGTAAAAGGGGAGGACTCTGACCTTGGCCCCCGGAGTTCTGTAGGAATTAGGCCAGAGGAGCAGCATGTATGATCGAAGGCTCAGCATGTCACAGTCCCTGTCGGTACCTTGTCCGAGCTTTATTTAGGTGGCAGAGACAATATCCTTATTTTGTCTAGAACAAGCATGTCAAACTCAGCCCACAGGCCACATGCAGCCCACAATATAATGGTATGTAAAAAAAAAATTCGTAACTTAATGATTTACAGTAACCTGTTATTTATACATAATTATTAATAATGAACTACAACATTTGCTAATGACTGATTACTATAATCATGTTGCATTCATTTCCCTTACGTACCTTGCCCTCAGGTGTACCATTTCTCTCCACTAATACTGGCAGCGAATATTTCAGTAGCCGATGGCCACATCATTAGTCTTGAACTAACTTGTTTGGTGTGCGCAACAGGAAATATTTCACTTTTGGAAAACAAAAAAATAGATTTATTTGTGTTATGATTATTGATTTGTGTAGTTATTCAGTGTCTGGTAAGTTAATGTTCAAGAAAAATTTTAATTTTTATTAAAATGTTCTATTATTTTATGTTAACGATGACTCATTTATTTCAGCCCTTTATATTCAGCATGTCTCTCAAAATTTACATTGAAAATTGAAGCTTTTGTTTTTTAGTGACCCACATAAACTTACCCCTTGTTTATTTGGCCCGTGTTAGCCTTTGAGTTTGACATGCTTGGTCTAGAAGGCTCAGAAAAGCCATTCAATTTAAGGAAAAAAAATAATAGGTCCCACATTTTTGGATATTTTTGCTTTTTTGCCCATTAATCCTACTGCGGAGTCCGTGGATCTTAGGAGACAAAGTAAAGCCATGAGTCAGAATCAAGTAGAAAAACTGGGTCAGACTATTTGTTAAGTGATAAGTGTATTATTTTGCTGGGAATGCTAAGGCACAAAGTACAACAGACTTTGTACTTTGAAGGCCTTAAGCAACAAAAGTGTATAATCCCGTGGTTCTGGAGGCTGGACGTCCAAGATTGGTTTCCTCTGAGGGAAGGACGTGTCCAGGCCTATTGACAAGTTCTGCAGGTGGACATCTCCTTCCTGTGTCTCTTCTCATTACCTTCCCTCTAAGCATGTCTCTGCGTCCCTTTCCCCTTTTTATAATAATACTTGGTATCTTGGATTAGGGCCCAGCTTAAAGGTCTTGTTTAATTAATTATCCCTGTAAAGCCCTATCTCCCAGTAGTCTCATTTTGAGAGGTTAGGACTTCAGTATGAATTGGGCCGTGGGGGGGGCGGGGGGACGCAGCGCGCTGGGAGGGTGGGTTGAGGGTGGGAGGGAGCATTCAACTCCTAACATTAAAGGTCACAGTAATCAGAATGATTCTGACAGCAGGTTGGCAGAAGCAGGTGCACAGATGCCAGGAGATAGAACAAGGGGAGAGAATCTCAATAAAACAGACCAGAAATGATGAGCTCATGGGAGCGGAGGGTAGAAACAGAGCAAAGAAAACGGCAGATAACACACACGGGGCATGAGGAAGGACACCGTTTTCACACCTGTGATCCTGTGAGAGAGACGTGGCTTCAGTAACGCCTGTATATCCCTCTGTCTGTGAAACTCCGTGACCCTGGGAGTCACTTAAAACCATCCTATGGGTGTAAATTGAAGTATAAAGCTGGGAGCCTCCAGATAGAGAGCTAATTTCCTAGAAAGGAATCTTTCCTCACTGGAGATGAAATCAGCAGGAAATCCATCATGTTAAGTTTTAGGCAGTCATTGCCTGATAGGACAGAGTAGCTGAGGAACACCCAAAGATCCCTGCAGGCGATATTATTCAAAGACACTATGAGTATTCATAAAGATGAAATCTGTAGATTATGCTTAACACACACACAGAACACCAAACGTTACAATCTCTGTCATGTACCAGTAATGATAATGATGGGAGACCTTATATAGGATTAATTCTCCTGCAGAGAATTAACTATTAAAAAATCTGGGACAAAATAATGTTTAAACTACTAGAAAACAGAAAATGTTGGGCATTTGGTCCTTGAAAGAAGAAAATTGGATGGGTGAGATCTACGTTTATACAGCTTCTCCCCTGAGAGTACTCCCCGATCCACATAGAACAACACGAACGCAAGGAGAAAGCATTATTGGCACGCAGTGTCGGAAGATCAGGACTGCCAGAGTGGCAAGACAGTGTCAAAGGAATGAGAAGGCTGACAGAACATGTTTGCCAAGGACACATCTGATCAAAGACTGACATCCAAAGCAAAGAATGTTTAAAACTCAACAGTAAGAAAACAACCCAAAAGTGGGCCAAAGAAAGTACCAGACATGTCACCAAGGAAGAAATGCACATGATGAGTAATCACGTGAAAAGTTGCTCCACATCGTATGTTATCAGGGAAATGCCAATTAGAGCAGTGATTACCTCTGTTACAATCGCCAAAACATAGACAACTCCCAATGCTGTGGGGATGTGGAGCTACAGGAACTCTCAAACATTGCTGGTGGGAATTCAAAATGTTAAGGCCACTTTGGAAAACAGTTTGGTGGTTTCTTACAAAACTAAACATACTCTCGCCATACAATCTAGCCATTATGCTCCTTGGTATATACTCTTAGGGTAAAGCTGCTGAAAACTTACATACACACACAAAATTTACCTCCCTTTAAAAAAAAGAATAAAAAACAAATTTACAGAAAGGGTATATATTTATGTGGCAGCTTTTCTTCCCTATCCTATATAATAAAGAAGTAATATGCAAATTGACCATCATGCCCTTGCACAAGATGACCACCCCCATGTGGTCACAAGATGGCCATCAGGGGAGGACAATTGTGGGCAATCAGGCCAGCAGGTGAGGGCAGTTAGGGGTAACCAGGCTAGCAAAGGAGGGCAGTTGGGGGCAACCCAGCATACAGGGAACGGCATTTGGGGGTGACTGCGCCAATAGGGAAAGGCAATTGAGCCAGGAGGAGAGCAGTTAGGCATTGATCAGGCTCACAGGGGAGTGGTTAGGGGTGATCAGGCTGGCAGGCAGGTGAGTGGATTGTGAGGGGGATGTCCAATAGTCAGCAGTTGGACATTCCTTGAGAGATCCCAGGTTGGAGAGCATGTGGGCTGGCTGAGGGACATTCTCACACACACACACACACACACACCCCCTCAACCCCAGTGCATGAATTCATGCACCGGGCCTCTAGTAATAATAATAATTAACATGTTTTGAGTCATTACCTTGTCCAGGTACTAGTCTTAACATTGGACATGTTTTATTCTTACCAAAAAAAAAAATTTATTTTAGAGGCAAATAGGTTAATTAAGGTTCCT